TGTGTAGAACAAAACATACATACAAAGAAAAAATGGTTTGGACGTGTTATTACTCATTAATAATGTTTTTGATAAAATCAATAGAATTTGTCTGTACCAAAAAAGTCAGAGGCTTATACTCTGTAACTAGTTTATAGGTGGGATACATATTGAACAGGAGGTTTTTGTGAATTATATGGGGGCCCAGAAAATTGCGACCCTCCCTCTAGCATGCGCCCAAAATTTTTTGGCCCTCCCTAATGGAGGGCGCAAAAAATCGCAGCCCTCCCCATAAATTTACCGGCCCTCCCCCCCCCAATAATTAATGACCGCTCCCTAAATGCGTCAGAGTCTTTTTTCTTAACAGTTCGAATGATGTTTCCTGTTGTTTATCATGACAAAGGTCAGTATAAAAACCTTAAAGGACTATGGTGTATCTAATTTTAATCTTATACTTGCATTTATAATTGTTTTATTAGTATTATTAACGGTCATCAAGTGAGAAGTACCTCATTATAGCTACATGCACAGTCCACTTGCAAGACTTCATCTTCTTCATTTTGGTCCTCTTGTTGGTTCTCACCAGACGTTGATGTTACATGTTTTTCATCGGGTTTTAATCCTGTCGCTGATTCGTCAATGGCTATTACGTATTTAAAAAAAGTTTTTAGATATAGCAATTCATTTGTGAGATAAGTCATGCGCAACACTATGATCAAAATTATTTGATCCATTCGGTCGCTTCTTACGCTTATTCCTATTGCTCAGGCTTGAAACATTATCTAGTGATACGACTAGGTAGTTTTGTTTCTTAACAACTATAAGCTTCAACAATTAGCAGGGATAGAGCTTGGTTTCTATGTTCTACTCGTTATTTACTTATTGACCTTACATGGTATTTGTGGACTTTCAGTAGGAACTTGATCACATTCCATGTCAAAGTTGGTTGATGCTAAAATGATAATAATTAAAGATAAGAGTAAGAGAAACTGACATTTGCAGTATTATTAACGATGGCGATGGTAATAGTTTAAAACATGCTTCCAGTTATGACAGTAGAGGTAACTGTTCAGATACCGCCAGTATAGTAACTTCACTGAGATGAATATGCGACGCTGCACTGAGCATCGTGTCTCTTTTTCCATCCAAATACAATAAATTTATTGAACAATGTGAGAAGAAGAAGTGGTAGAGGATGTTGAGACAGGGTAGGTAAAGGGCGAGAAAAGGAGGAAATGTTCGCGTGTGAGCGCAACGTGTTTGCAATTATTAGTAAAACATATATGTTTCTATGAAAGGTTTTCCTAATAGCACAAAACGTGATCTTGGTGCTCTTAACTAGACCCACCATTTGAGTTCATTTTCGTAGAATCCAAGGGATTGATAGGATGTTCTTGATTTTCATCACTAGTGTCATCATTGATATCCTTGGAGGTTTTCTGAGTGAGTACAATGACACGACAACTGAACTTCATGCAATGGTTGCATAATGTTACCCTACAGAAGATGCAAATGTTATCTCCATCGCTGCAGTCCTTCCCGCTCTCATATTTTATTTTACCGCGAATCTTCTAATACCCTAGAATCTTTAGTTAAGTCCAAAATCTCCCTTAAAGTGTATATCAGGTCTARAATTTTTTTACGGTTTTGGCATCTCTAGATGATATAAATAAATATTCCAAAAAAAAWTTTTCGATTTCGAATTTTTTTCACCTAGAAATCAGCCTTCAAAGTTAGATTTCTGGCGACGCCCAGTCGTGTTGGCCGTGTTTTAGGAGACTGGTAACTAGTGACGTAAATTCGAGAACCGAGAAAAGCGATTGTCAAGGATACGAGTAGACAAAGTATTGTAAACATTGACCCGTTAGTGACTTTCATTCCTTCAAAAAACATAAATTTC